AAGAAACGTCGCGCATAAATGTGTGAAACACCTTGTCCAGAAATACCACTTCCACGGCCGAGAATTGAACTCGGGTCTCTGCGTGACAGGCAGGAATACTAACATCTATACTACCGCGGAATTGAAGGTGGTTCAATGTCTAAATAGTGACGCAAATTACCATTTTCAGCTACCAGCGCACATCGCGGCGGGCGTGAGTGGAGAGAGAAAGTTGAGTAATTTTTTCGAGGCAGCAAATGATTCGCAGAGTGGTGCAAAAATCAGTAAAGAAACGGTCGCGCATAAATGTGTGAAACGCCCTTGTCCAGAAATACCACTTCCACGGCCGAGAATTGAACTCGGGTCTCCTGCGTGACAGGCAGGAATACTAACCTCTATACTACCGCGGAATTGAAGGTGGTTCAATGTCTAAATAGTGACGCAAATTACCATTTTCAGCTACCAGCGCACATCGCGGCGGGCGTGAGTGGAGAGAGAAAGTTGAGTAATTTTTTCGAGGCAGCAAATGATTCGCAGAGTGGTGCAAAAATCAGTTAAAGGGCTGAGTGAGTTGTCTTTGAGTATATGTCAATTGGTACCTACTTGCAGTTATTCTTCGTTCTCGTACCCCCACTGGTGCATCATCCGATATGGCTGAACAGGCTCCCCCTGCGAACCCCCAACCCGTCGTCCTGGATCCAGCGTCTATCACGGCTATCGCGAATGTGGTGAAGGATCTGGTCGTTGAGCACAAGCTGGCTATTGACCCGACTAGGCCCCTACAGTCTGTGATGACCTTATTATGCGAGGTGAACGTGGCCCTTGGGAAGCTACAAGCTGCTACCAATGTCACTACGGCGAAGGCCGAGGTCGGCTCCAAGCTCACTGAGGTTAAACGTAGCTTGGAGGAGCTGAGGGATGCTTGGGAGACTCTATCTCTCAACGATCATCAGAAGAGTCTGATCGCCGAGGAGTCCTCGTATGCTGGTTTGCCACCGTCAGAGAGGATGCAACTACGTATGTTATCAAAGATGGACACTCTAGTCCACAAGATGTCGAGACCCCCTTCCTCGAGGTATGGGCCGCCCCCCTCTGGGGTAGGAATGAGATGCTATGTATGCAATCAACCGGGACATATGGCCAAGGACTGTCCCAAGAAGAAGCCACCGGTTGCTAATTGAAGGTGCTTTGTCAAGGGTTTGGAGGCGACCCTTGACTGGCAGGCTATTAATCGGCCTCCTGATCCTATGGATCGTATATTTATGAAGCTAGAGACCATTGAGAACGAGATCAAAGCTATCAATGGTGGTACCTGTACTGGGTCAGACCCAGGCTCGGATACCGAGGACACCGTGTCTACTGTGGCCTCGGAGGAGGACTCCCCCCCTGAGAACGTGGAAGTGGCGCCCCCGGTCTCGCGAGTAGTCCATGATTGTGACAACTATCAGCTAAGGTGGGAGGAGGAGGAAGGTACGTATGTAGTCAAGATTAAGAAGGGACCCCCGTGTGGGGGGATCCCGGCTAGCGATCGTCGTTGGCATAGTTATTGTAGTTCAGATCAGGTGCCTATCTTAGATGAGGCACACGAAGATATGGAGCAATATGAAGCATGTCAAGAAGTTGACCAGGCGACCTTGTTAACGAGAGGATACCCCTCAAGGATGTTTGTCCCACCAGAAGAAGGAAGAAGAGTGCGTGGAGTACTGAACCTGGTCTTGTACAACGAATTCACAGGGAGTGGTTCACAGGCCGGTGCTAACATCAAGGATTTGTTCAACTCACTAAGACGTGTAGACTCCGATACCCTGGCCCAGGCCGACTTGTCACGAGCCTTCTATTCGGTGCGACTCGAGGCTGAGGACGGTGTCGCTCTACCTGGTTATGTCTACCGTGGTCGAAACTTCTTGATGCAACGGCTCCCTATGGGCTACCGTTACTCTATGAAGATTCTGTCCCTGTGTGTCGAGGACATGTTGGGTCACCACACGCCTACCCGATCAGTCGTTCGAGCCATCTACGCTGACAACATCATCTACTCTGCTCAACGACAGGATGAGGGTGTCTTACAAGAACGTATTCGGGAGGATGAGAAGATCCTCAATAGACATGGATTTCGGTGGAAGCCTGGCAGTGTGGAGACGTTGCCCCGAGAAGCTGGAGCTAGTATGGTGGTGTTGGGCTATAACTTATTCAGAAGACAGGATGGGCGTATAGGTATAGGGGTTAAGTATCGTGTTCTACCTGAGGTGTGGAATAGAAGGTCCCTCCTACAGTGGTCGGCTAAATGTTATGATGAGTTAGGTATCGCCGGCAGTGGAGCTATCAAGGCTCGAATCTCAGCATTTGCTACGGCAGGAATACTAACCTCTATACTACCGCGGAATTGAAGGTGGTTCAATGTCTAAATAGTGACGCAAATTACCATTTTCAGCTACCAGCGCACATCGCGGCGGGCGTGAGTGGAGAGAGAAAGTTGAGTAATTTTTTCGAGGCAGCAAATGATTCGCAGAGTGGTGCAAAAATCAGTAAAGAAACGGTCGCGCATAAATGTGTGAAACGCCCTTGTCCAGAAATACCACTTCCACGGCCGAGAATTGAACTCGGGTCTCCTGCGTGACAGGCAGGAATACTAACCTCTATACTACCGCGGAATTGAAGGTGGTTCAATGTCTAAATAGTGACGCAAATACCATTTTCAGCTACCAGCGCACATCGCGGCGGGCGTGAGTGGAGAGAGAAAGTTGAGTATTTTTCGAGGCAGCAATGATTCGCAGAGTGGTGCAAAATCAGTAA